TATCTTTAGGAAAATATTGTAAGCACTACTGAAGGACTTAAAAGAAGACTTTAATGAGAGGAGATATATACCATTTTTCCATATAGAAAAATTCATTAACTTAAAGATGTCCACAATTCCAAAAATTAATCTATCAGTTCAAGGCAATTCCAAACAAAGTTCCAAGAGGATTTTTCATGAAACTTAACAAACTGATTCTAAAATTCATATGAAAAATTAAGAAACCAAGAATATCGAAGACGATTATGAAGAAGAATAAATAGGAAGTACTTATCCTACAGATATCAAGACTTAGAAAACTATAGTAATTAAAACAGCATAGTATTTGCATAGAGAGAGGCAAACAGATCAGTTGGAGAAAAGAGAGACCCAGACAGAAAGCTGAGAATACAGTTGACCTTTGAACAATGCATGGGTTAGGGACATCAACCCTCCTTGCAGTCGAAAATCCATGTATAATTTACAGTCGACCCTTCATATACACACAGTTCCTTTGTATCCCTGGTTCCACGTCTGTGGATTCAACCACGGATAATGTAGTACTGTAGTATTTACTGTTGGAAAAACTCCACGTATAAGTAGACCTGTGCAATTCAAACCCATGTTGTTCAAGGGTCAGCTGTATAAGGGACCTTAGTATGTGACAGAACTGACATTGTAGATCATGAGAGGAAATGAGGGACTATTCAATAAGTGGTGTAGAAACAATTGCTTATTCATATTGGAACAAATAAAATTAATTTCCTATATTTCATCATATATAGAAATAAATTCAAGATGGACTCAATAACAATGTTTTTTAAAAAACTTTTAAAATTTAAAAGAAATTTAGAATAATATATTAATGTTATTGGGGTAGGAAAGGATTTTTTGAATAAGGCCTGAAAAGTACAAATTGTAAATTACTGATAAATTTAACCACATCAAAAAAAATAAAACCTTCCATCTTTCTATGCTATAAGACATTGCAATAAACAAAGTTAATAGGCAAGTGACAGACTTGGAGAAGATATTTGCAACAAATATATAACAGACAGATATGGATTCCATAAAGGACTACATTTATTAAACAACAATCCAAATTAACAATGGACAAAATATTATTGGACAATGCACAAAAGAGAAAACCTGAATGGCCAGTAAAAAGATGAAAACATTCTTTTATCCTCACTAATAATCAGGGAAGTGCAAATTAAATTAGCACAGAGATACTATTACATCAGATTACCACAAATAAAAATATCTGCTAATACCAAATGCAGGCAAGAATGTGAGGAAACAACTGTTTACGCTACTTGTGGGAATAAGTATTTGCACATCCACTTTAGAGAGCAATTTGGTCATACCTAGTAAATATGAAAATATGAATATACTCCGAGCCTGCAATTCAACTCCTAGGTACCTTAAAGAAATACAAAAAACATATTCAAGAATATTTATTGCAACATTGTTTGTACTGGCTAAAATTTATTAACATAAATGTCCTTCCTTTTCTAGACCAAAAAGTTTCCAGGTTTTCAATTTATAAGAATCTTCCATCCTTTTATTAATCTATCCAGTGCAAAGTCAAAGCAAGGATTTGAGAAAAATAATTCCAACTGTGGGACTTTTATTTATAGCCTACAAGGAAAAGCCAACAAACCCACAGTATTCAGTATAACTAGGAGCAAGATAAATCCACAATGGGTGAATGAAAACTACAACTATCAACAAGGATAGGTCTAAAGAAACAAATGTGAAGTGGCGGGGGTTGGGGGGAAGCAAGTTGCAAAATGTTATGCCATTTGTGTGAAATTTAAAATATACAAAATATTATCATGTATTATTTATAGATACATTCATATATAGTAGGATAAAAACATGAACATGGAGGACACACAGCAACTTCAGCATAGTGGATGCCTCTGGGGCTCACGAGAAATGGGATTGGGGACAAAAAGAATTTTCATCGTATCTATAATGTTTTTATTTCTTAGAAAACAAGCTCTGTAACAAAAATAAATAAATAATGGCTTATTCATATGCCAAGGCAGAATGTAAATGTTAAAATGAATGAGATTGATCTATGCATGCAGATACAGAAAGATCTCCAAAATACATTAAATTAAAAAGCTCTGTGAAATTATTATGGATTGTGCAATCACTTTTGTGTAAATATGAAAAAATGTAAATGTATATAAATGCTGGTATAAGCACATAAAATTTCTTGAAGCACCCACAATTTATAGTAGTTGCCTCTGGAGAGAGGGACTGTTGGTCTGGAATTGGAGGGAGGATTAGTTATACTGTTTTAATTATTCACCATGTGCAAATTATGTATTGTTCATTAAACTTCATTTTTGAAAAATTCATGAGCTTAAAATCAAAGACCCGACACCTTGTGTGATTCTTAGGTTAGTACTCTTGTGTATTGAAGATTACGTAACATTTATTGAATTTTCTTTTAATGAAACTTCCTGCTGAGCCTTAGTGGCGAGCATGCTGGCCATTAGAGAGGAGGTGTCACTTTGGTGAGCTGTCCAGCTGAAGCATTTTTTTCATTTCCCTCAAGGCCAAGAGCTACATCTGAGACATCTTTGCATCTCTGATAATACCTAATACAGACTTTTGCCTGTGTTAGTAAATTATATTAATACATTTATTCCTTCATTCTTTTGTTTATTAATGTGACAAATGTTATTAGAGAACAATTATGTTTCACTGCAAACATAAAGCTTTCCAAGTACTTTGTACTTCAAATCGATTTCTCTGGGATGGCCAGAGATTTAGGACTGCTGTTGTTTCTATGGGAAATGTGAGTTGACACCAAATAACTAAGTCACACGTGAACTTCAGGGTTATGATCCATTCATATGTTTGCAAATACTCAGAAAAATTATTTTCTTCCACAAATTACTTTTGATAAAGTTGAATAATGATGAAGGGACAAGATGGTCTTAGTGATAAAGACAGTGATGTTACTATTGCCTGAAGCCATTGGCTCCCCTCTTTTTCCAATAACCATCATTCTTTCCTGAATTGAAGTAACAGCCTCTTCATTGGACTTCCTGTCTGAGTCTCCTTTGCCTCTAGTTTATTTGCATATCCACTCAAAGTATATAGCTTTTCTAAAACACAAACATGAGTACGCCACTTCCCTATTTAAAAACCCTTCTCACTGACCTCAGGATAAAGTCCACACTGTTTAGGATGGTGTACAGGGCCCGCCATCTTCTGTGTCTGCCTCCTTCTCCAGCCTTCTCTACTGTCACTCTTTACTGGCACATGCTATTCCCTCTGACTGAAACTCCACCCACTCATTGGCTCAAAAGACTTCTATTCATCCTTCAAAACCCAATGCATTATAAAGATTAATGAAATGATAGATGAAAAAGTGCTTTGGAAGAAAATAAACCAAAAAATCCCCAAACGGCAGTTCCTTCAATGGACCTTCACTGTTACTATTTCCCCCATCCCACAACTCCTTTCTCTGTGCTACATCTACATGTTATACAGAGTCCTTTTGTTGCATTTATCATGTTGCAGTTCCACTGCTTTGTTTACGTGTCTGTCATTTCCATTAGTCATTGAGTTCGTAAGTCATGGATTCAGCTTTGCAGCCTTTCTTCACCTTTATATTCCCAGCATTTAGAGTACTGACTGACACAGAGGAGGGGCCAGGCATTGTTTGTGAACTCTGTAACCAGATGGTGACAATGATGATGGCCTGGGATAAGAAGAAATTGTTATGTATCTACAAGTGCTCTGTTTTGTATGATGCTTCACAAAGTCATCAGAGAAATGGGAGAGGCCTCACTAACTGCTATACAAAGAGGTTTTACTACCCCAAACAACTCTTTTCTTTATAGCCTGGAGAGCAGATGAACCTGCATTGACAAAACTTACTCAGGAGGCCAGATGCAATCTGTCTACCAAGGGTGGAAAAATGACAAGGTAACTGGTTTTAAAAACTACCTCTGGCAGCTTGTGTAAGAGGACTTTTAATTCGATTATAAAAACCAAACTCTAACAGTTGTGCTTTTAATTAGAATGTAAAATTCATTTAAAGTTGACTGAAGGCTTTGGGGGAAGGGATTTAGATGTTTTCAGGCGGTATTTAATGATGTAAAAAAGTAAGAGTTTTACTTCTAGTTTTAGGGGTCCAGATATCTTTGAACTTAAAGACAAAACTATCCTCAACTTCTGTGATCAGCGACATCATTAACACACTCCTCAAATATGATATTACTATGGATCGTATAGATTTCTAGTTGATAAAGGGTTTCCCGTACATCATTTGAGTCCCACAGCAACTCTGTGAGGTCAGCAGGGCAGGGATTATCGCTCCCATTCAAAGTAGGAAAACCTGGGATTTAGTAAAGATAAATGACACACCAGATTGCACATGCAGCAGGAGATCCAAGTCTAGAACCTAGATTTTCTGTCACTCGTTTCAGTACTTTTTCACATTGTACACTCTCCAAGCTATTGCTTGGTGCTTTCAGCAGCCTCTGGTGGCTGGCCTAAATGGATCGTGGCTCTAACCCATGTGACATGTCAGATACTCCAATTTCCAATTTCACACTATTAGTCAGCAGTCACTGAATGGGAAGTTCAGGATGTCATGAGAATCCAACATTGATCTCTCAATTAAAAAGCAAAGCTCCCCTGGGAGCTAAACTTAAAGATAATTGGTTTTCTTATTTGAGCTGTATCTACCAATCCCTGCTTGCAGAAGGTTGTAGGAGTGTTTAAAACATGGATACATAGGCCAGTATTGTGCTCTTTCTAAACCCAAAGGAGGTCACTGCAGGAGCTAAAAATGCTTTGGTTACAACCGCCTGAAAACCAAAAGAGCCTTTAGGGTGAAGTTCTCTTAGATCTTCTTTTTGGAAGCTTGGTGGGTTCCAGGGAAGTTAGGGAGTAAAGTATAATTGTGCAGATATAAAAGGAAAGGTTGGAAAGCCATGATTCTTAAGGCCCTGTCGGATCTTTTTAAAGGACATATAATATCGTGTCTGTCATGATGTTGCTGGATCTATTCCTGGTCAAACGACATAGTAGTGGTACAGCAAACCAGCTACATGTCTTAGCAATCCACTTTGGTTTCTGCTAAGTATTTTGGGCTCCACATATGCAGATGGAACAAGAAGACAGGCTCTGAGGAAGCAAAGTGAACATCTCTACCATGGGCTCATCGTAGCCATCCAAGGATGGCTTAAGTTTCCAAACTCAAGTGGAAGGAAAAAGATGAGGTAATTATCTTGATAATCACTATCCACACCCATCTTTACCCCTTTCTCCTCTTCTAAAAGATGATTGTTCTTTCTTGTCTAAGGATAATGCCTCCACTTGTATATTTCCCCATCCTATCCCCTCTAACCCTCCTTGCTCCATCAGTCATCCCTTTGCATGTCTTTCATATTTACTTCTCTCTGGACTTAGACTCTTCACCTAGAATCTTGATCAAGTTTCTCCTTTACTAAAAAGCAAAATCAAGAATGAACAAGAATATCTTCTCTCAATCCTTTCTCTCTCTTCTACCTCTACTTTATTTTGGCTCTCTCTCCCTCTCCTTTACTTCACCAACAGTCTTGAAATAATAACCTACATTTCTTGTTTTTACTTTATACATCCCTGTCTCAGTACTGTCAGGATTCTTGTCACAGCACTCCAATATTCATGGCTCCTTTACTAACAATTCTGATGGTTCCTTTCCTTCCTTGGACTCTGTGATATCACTCTCTTTGTTTCTCCCACTTTAACCCATTAAAAAATTTTTTTTTGGTATTTCTTTCTCCAAAAATGTATGTGCTCCCCCGCTTTTTTGTCCTCAGGCCCCTACTCATTTTGCTCAAACAATCTTTCTGAAATCAATGGCCAACATGGTCCTCAGGTAACTGGATGTTTTTCCACATTATTCCCTCTGCCTGAAATACCTTCTCTCTCTTCTCCTAAGAAGGTACTACTTTTGCTGGACACCCACCAGAGCTCTGAAATAGTTTACTTCATCCTACCTTCCAAACCCCTTTTTCCTAAAGCAGGTTTTTTGTTACATGTCCATCATGGAAAGCTACCTCAGTTTCTGTTATTTGTTGTTCAGCTCAGATGATGGCAATCTCCATATGATTCCTATCATCCAGTTACTAAACAAAAACTCTTGGCTCATAATACGATTAGCATCTTGTAAATTCACACTGATATCAACATACATAAGATTAACTTTTTACCTCCAAAAAAATAGCCATAATTGAAATACAATGTTGTAGTATAGTAATCATCATACTCAGTTTTTGTATCTGAAAAATCAGATGAGACAAATCAAAGACCTACTCCCACTCCCACATACCTCACAAGATTTTTGGGAAGATTAAAAATAATGATGGATCTGAAAGTTCTTTGAAAATCATTAAGCTCCCGACACATGTTACTAAACTGAAGGTAAGTCTTTCTTCAGGTACTTACATGTTACACATTAAGGGCTGGACACTGAAGAGAGACAAAAAGAAAGCAAAAAGTATAAGAGCATGCTATAATGGAAGGAGCAAGAACCAGAAAATAAGACCTGGGTGTCATTTCCTGCTCTGTTATTAACTAGATCTAGATCCTAAGAAAGACAATTTACCTGCCTGAATTTTCTTTTTTAGTCAAAAAATTAAATGGTTGGTCAAATGACAGTTTTAATGTCCTTTCTGTCTTTGATAAACAGCAGAAGGAAATGGGAGAGACTTAACACTTATCTATAGTCCTTCATTACAACTGTTTTTACAAATATTCCCTAACTCTCTTGCCCCTCTTTTCTTCCATTGTTTTCATTTGTCAAACTCCAAATCTGATTGAAACCAACTATTTGCCTACCCCACTCTAGCTAAACATTGCTAGTGAAGACCATGCAAGAAAGCCGTGTGATTACACCTTAAACTTATGCTCTCAAAAATCAAATTGCCACTCAATACTGCCTGGAAATTTTAGTGTTTCTTCTAGAAGGAGGATAGCATTCTCATTTACAGATACGACTATTTTATTATATTTCCTCTGCCCTCAAACCTCCCATATGTCTTCCTTTACCCTCACTTTTGCATGATAACATCTCCTACTTTGTTGAGAAAATGGAAACCATTAGAAGCAAACTCCACCATCTTCCTAAGATTAGATGTATCAACTTACTACAACTGCATCTATTTTCTCTAGCCTTCCTCTTGTTAAAAAGATGAAGTGTCCATGTCCTTACCACAGGTGAACCCCTCCACTTGTGCTCTGTATCCCATCCTTTCTCACTTTATAAAAGATTTCACTCTTAAAATTAGCTCCTCATTTACTAATATATCATCAAAAACCCCTCTATGCTGGATCACTCTGACCAGCATGAAAAAGGGAAAGTCAATGCTCATCTCTCTAGTTACCACTCAATTTTTCTGTTCCTCTTCAGTCTCCACTACTTTACTGAATCTATTTTCCATGTAACCAAACATAAGAGACTATTCTGTGTCTTCATCTTAACCTTATACCAGCTTTTAACACAATCAATAACTTTCTTCAAACATGGCTTCTCTTATTGTATTTCCTCCCACTTTACATCCTACCTCACTGACTCCTTTTCAATCTCTTCTTCTTACTTTTCCTTCTGTCAGGCCTAAGAGAAAGAGGGTCTTAAAGCTCAGCGTAGTACATTCTTGTGTATCCATAATTTCTCTGCAGGTCACCTTGTCCATTATTGTGGCTTTGAATATTATCCGTATGCTGATGATTCCTAAATTTATATTCTACTCCAGCGTTCTCATGTGGGCTACATACTCTCAAATCCAGCTGTCCACTTCTCCTCTCCACTCAGAATTCTCATAAACAAACATCTTAAGCTTAACACCTCCAAATTGAACTTTCCCCTAAACTTCCCTCCACATTATCACCATTAAAGTAAACAGAAACAGTTGCTCAAACCAGAAACCCAGGAGTTATCTTTGATAGTTCACTTTTTATCACTCCTCACATCTAATTTATTAGTAAGCCCTGGCATGTCTACCTCCAAAATGTATCTTGACCCTGTCTTCCCTCCAACTTTTTTGCAACCACTTTATTCAGGTTTACTATCATCTCTCACTTGGTCCACTGAAATAATCTCTTAACTGTCTTAATCTACCCATGAAGTTCTCACTCTAATTCATTAATTACACAGTGTAAAAAGTGATTATAAGGTGTAAATTTTTTTTAACATCTTTATTGGGCTATAATTGCTTTACAATGGTGTGTTAGTTTCTGCTTTATAACAAAGTGAATCGGTTATACATAAACATATGTTCCCATATGTCTTCCCTCTTGCGTCTCCCTCCCTCCCACCCTCCCTATCCCACCCCTCCAGGCTGTCACAAAGCACCGAGCCAATATCCCTGTGCCATGCGGCTGCTTCCCACTAGCTATCTACCTTACTACGTTTGTTAGTGTGTATATGTCCATGACTCTCTCTCGCCCTGTCACAGCTCACCCTTCCCCCTCCCCATAACCTCAAGTCCGTTCTCTAGGAGGTCTGCGTCTTTATTCCTGCCTTACCCCTAGGTTCTTCATGACATTTTTCCCCTTAAATTCCATATATATGTGTTAGCATATGGTATTTGTCTTTCTCTTTCTGACTTACTTCACTCTGGATGACAGACTCTAGGTCTATCCACCTCATTACAAATAGCTCAATTTCGTTTCTTTTTATGGCTGAGTAATACTCCATTGTATATATGTGCCACATCTTCTTTATCCATTCATCCGATGATGGGCACTTAGGTTGTTTCCATCTCCGGGCTATTGTAGATAGAGCTGCAATGAACATTTTGGTACATGACTCTTTTTGAATTTTGGTTTTCTCAGGGTATATGCCCAGTAGTGGGATTGCTGGGTCATATGGTAGTTCTATTTGTAGTTTTTTAAGGAACCTCCATACTGTTCTCCATAGTGGCTGTACCAATTCACATTCCCACCAGCAGTGCAAGAGTGTTCCCTTTTCTCCACACCCTCTCAAGCATTTATTGTTTCTAGATTTTTTGATGATGGCCATTCTGACTGGTGTGAGATGATATCTCATTGTAGTTTTGATTTGCATTTCTCTAATGATTAATGATGTTGAGCATTCTTTCATGTGTTTGTTGGCAGTCTGTATACCTTCTTTGGAGAAATGTCTGTTTAGGTCTTCTGCCCATTTTTGGATTGGGTTGTTTGTTTTTTTGTTATTGAGCTGCATGAGCTGCTTGTAAATTTTGAAGATTAATCCTTTATCGGTTGCTTCATTTGCAAATATTTTCTCCCATTCTGAGGGTTGTCTTTTGGTCTTGTTTATGGTTTCCTTTATAAGGTGTAAATTTGATCACAATGCTGCTTAACCTCCTCCAATGAATTCCTACCATATTTAACGTCTACATGGCATAGCATGGCCTACAAGGACATAGATGACCTGGCCCTTTCCTGTTTTTCTACTCATCTCTTCTTCATCTCTTTCTCTCTGTTTCTCTGTGTCTCTGTCTCTCTCTCTGTCTCTCTCTCTGTGTCTCTGACTCTGTTTCTCTCTCTCTGTCTCTCTCTCTCTCTCCAACTCCCCCAAACCATATATATGTATTTTTCAATTTCAGTTTTTCTAACACTCTAAATCATTCCTTGCTTAAGGCCTGTTCCCTCTGCCTAGAATACTTTCTCCCACCCCTCACTCCCAAATCTTGCATGACTATCTCCTTCCCATTTTTTTAGGTCTCAATGTTTTAGGATTTTCTTGACCACACCAACCAAAGTAGCCCTCTCCTAAACACACATACATACAGCATATTCCTATTTTGGGTCCTTATTTTTTACATTCATAGTGGACAACTCAAAATTATGTTATGGGTCTCTTTACTTGTGTTTAGTCTTTCTTTCCTACTAAAATGTTAACTCCATGAGATGTAGAGAGTACTCCTGACTTGTTAAAAAATTCTTGACTTTTTCACCATTTTATTCTAAGCACCTTTCAAAGAGTTTGGCACAGAGTAGGCACTCAATAAGTGTTGTCGAATGGATGAATGAATGTATTAAATGACTAATATGGACCAGTGATTGTGCAAATCGTGTTACATAGAATTAATATGCTGTTCTAAAGATGAGGAAACTGTCAGATAAGTGATGTGACTTACTCAAAGGCACACGTCATTCAGTGGCAGAGCTGGAATTTGAATTCAGGTATGTCTCTATTATACCATACCATATCCCTACCATCACTAGTTCACCCTCATGTCATTATGCCTCC